AATACTTTTCTTTTTAAAAAACTTGTATTGTTACAGACATTTTTCCGTTTAGATATATGATGCATTTAAATATAAGAAATCATTTGCTTAATGACATCCCCTTTCCACATACCCCACCCCCACAATCAGGGCTTCTCAGATTCTTGTGGAATGATTTGTTAAAGCAACTCAACATGCTTCAAGAATAACGGCAACAAACCCCACTCAACCTTTTCAAAGACTATTCCTCAGGCCCATGGGGGCAGGGGGGGTGGGGCGGGCACGGATGTTACATAATGTCATATCAACTTGAAGATATATAAAAGCGTAGGGTATGGATTGTGATAAGAGTTGTATGTGTCCCCAATAATATGATTTTTTTTAAAGCATAAATAAAGAACTATTTAGAAAAAAAAAAGTGTAGAGGTGGAGTTTAGCCTGTCAATCAGGTCCCAGTCTGATGGGCATGCCCTTCTCATAAGGACAGCCCTTGGAAACTCCCCGCCCCCCTCCCCGCCCTCTGCTTTCACCTTGCTAGCTGACTCTGGTCACTGTCAGGCCCCTGGAGCTGTGTCTACCGCCATTGGATACAAAAGACTTTGCACAGATTGGCCTGTGATATTTCTGCATTCTGCATCATTGCATGTGGGTGAATGAGTGTGAAGAGGGACTTACGGATTAGTACTGGACTTATGGACTTGAGCTGGACTGGGTTGGGATGTTTAATCCATATATAACTACTTCTCGGTATAGAGCTGTTTCTTACACATATATGAGTGTCACTGTTATTGTGTCTCATGTCAACCAGGCCTAACACAGGTGGTAGGCAAACACTTTCAGAAAAAGAAACCAGATAAAATGCCTCAATGCAAAACTATAATTGAACAAAGGAGAACACAAGGGTTTAGAGCGATCCAAGTTTTCTTCAAGGCCTATTTACCACTAATCTTGCTGTGAGATTTTGGTTACATCTATGCATTTCTCTGAGTTTTGGTCCTCAACTATAAAATGAGGTGCAAAAGGTGATTTTTTTTTAAATTCATTTTATTGGGGTGCTCACAGCTCTTATAATAATTCATGCATCCATTGTGTCAAGTACATTTGTACATATGTTGCCATCATCCTTTTCAAAACATTTTCTTTCTACTTGAGCCCTTGGTATCTGCTCCTCATTTTTTCTCCCCGCCACCATGAACCCT